ATTCATTTAATATTTTTGACATCGTTCTTTGTAAATATTCTAATTGTTGTATAATTTGTTCAGTGTTTTTCAGAATTATATGATGAACTTTTTCATCCTTTGGGGATATAAAATCCGCCAATTTTCGGAATTTGTAGTCTATGCTTGGTGCTCGTCAGATCATGCGTCATCCCCATTTATCGAATTTCAAATTTTAAATAATCTTTTAAGACATATTTTTAAGCATCTCAATGTTACCTTTATTTTTGTTATCATGCGTAGTGGTAGGATTATACATTGTGTCTGATATCAATTTTCAGAGTCTTTAAATTATCGTATTGTTTACGTTAATATGTTTCGACTGTCGTGTAGAATACCAAGTCAAAAAAAGCAGCCGGTCGTCCCTGTTCTATACACGACCCATGCCGTGGATCCCATGGCATTCTCCTGTATTTTCTCTCTTTCTTGTCGTATTTATCAATAAACATATCAAAGCATCCTCTACTGTTGCCGCCCCTCCCCCTCTACGGCGCCGCGCTATCCCGTGCGGAGCGTGAGTATCGCTGGCTGGGGTATCGCCAGCCCGTACACTAATTTAAAACTGAAGTATGCAAACAGTAGACTCTATATGTGACGCACACGATGTGAAAGATGTTAAACATCGCAGTTGTACACTACACATTCAAATATGAGCACCACCACTACTGAGCCGAACACTTGTAATTCCTACACTGTAAATTAGTGGTGTCCAGCAGCTGGGCGACCTAAGAGGGCCCTTTACTTTGGGTGGGCGAAAACCAAGGTACGGCGCCGTATTAGAAACCCCTTGCCCGGGCCTCTCTGCGGGAAAAGGGTCCCAGGGTGCCATAACTCAAGGTGTGTCCTTTGTCCAACAAAAGTGCGACTTTAGTCGCAGAGCTGCTGGACACCTCAGATTTACAGTGCAGTAAAACTAAACTGTTGCACTAAGTGATTTTTTATCGGCCAACTATTGTGACGATAACGTAAAGCCAACAGCGATGGTTTTCGACAGTCAGACGATTATCGCTGCTCTATCGAATTTAAACTAACAGTCTGGTATATTTTTACCGATTCCACATCTTCATGAGTGGTTCCTCGCTATCATACGATTGGTAGTCGATAAAGATTTTGGTTTAAAGGCAAGCAGTTGGTTTAGCGATAAAATCACTTTTCTCATTTCGTATATCGCACTGTTAGTTCTGTAACTTTATTTCTACTGTTTTGCAACGCATGAAAATTTATGGCACTAGTGATCTCAAAAATACAGAGTTGAACAGTTTGCAACTCCAAAACTTGCAGCTGCAGACTTGTACGCGTTCACCGGTTAAACACTTGGTTTATCAGTGTACCGCAACTGTGCCGTTGCGGAAGGTCAGTGAGTACAGTTGGGGGCTATTACACATGGTCGAGCCATTTAATAAAAACATTTCCCAATTAAAAGGGGCAATTAGCGGGCTTTAAACCATTCTTTATTTGCGTATTATTTATTTATACTTTTGTTTTTATTGATTTCTTATGATTCAAAGACGCGTAAGCCTGAAGACTTATCTTGTCTGAGTTGAGATAAATGCAGACACAGGGAACCGCAAGATGTGGCGACAGCCGGCGAGCGTAGTGTCTCTGTCTTGCAGGCTGTTTGGACCAAGTGTCACGCACTCTGTGGTGTGTTTTTACGTGCATGGATGCCTTTAATTAGTAGAGTACATTGGTGGGGAAGGGTCTTCAAATTACACGGCGGAACAGTCACAGTCGAAGACAAACACAAACGTAAGTCAACTTTGTTGCAGAGAAGTGTCAAGTTATTATCTTCTCGATCATTTTCTTCTTTTCAAGTGGTGGGGGCGGGTGCCAGCGGCAGAGGTAGGCTCGAAGATAGCGAGCGTGAGAGAGAGAGAGAGAAAGAGAGAGAGAGAGACCGAGATGAGATGATGATGGGAGGAAGGGGGGGG